CACACGATCAGGCTGGATTGCTTCTTGTGCCGCTCGATTGGCGCATCGTAGCATCTTTTTACGAAGTTTTTCGTCGTTGTGTCCTTCAGAAGCCGTAGAAACGGGTGCATGTCGATAGAAGAACGGAGGACGCTGTAGAAACGCGCTCTGAATTCGAGGAGGTTGTAGAACGAGTTCAGTTTCTCGAAATCCAAGTAGAGAACCCCGCGGGAGCCGAAGAGGGCTGAGAAGGAGGCCCAGCCAGTGATTTTCAGTTTTCTATCGATGAATTTTCGGGCTGTAGGCGATTCGGATGGTGGTTTTTTGATCCCGCTGGCGGACACGGGGATGTTGAAAAAGCTGAAGATCATCGCGAGGTTCACAGATTTGCCGAATCCCGGTGGGGCGGTTATTAAAATCGGCTCCAACGCCGAGCTATTGTCGAATAGAGCCTCGATGAGGAGACTTTTGTCGATGAAGTGGTCTTGGTTGACGATTTGTAGGAAATGGTTAATGAACCCCTCTGTTGATCCTGTATTCCTGTTTTCGGGACTCTGAAACATGGAATGAGTCGGATAAAATGAAGATCATACAAACGGGAAAAATCTACACGAAACCCCTCATCCACACTGAAAAAAATAGTTCTGTTCCTAGGGCCTCTGCACTTCCTTTGTTACGGCTACAGAAGTTTCCAGCCTGAGGACAGAGTACTTCGCACGCACGACCGAAGTTCAGTTCTCACTACAGAAAAGTTCTGTAAGTATAACAAAGAAAGTGCAGGAACCCTAAGAATAGAAGGTTCTGTCATCAGCACCGACTTTTTTTTTTTTTTTTTTTTTTTTTTGCTATTACATTAGCAAAAAGCAATTGTTTTTTTCCTCTGTTCTTGTTACTTCGAAACTGAGGATACTTCGAACAAAACTGAGCGAACGGGACGTATCTACATTAGACCTTTTTAAAGAGGGTTTATGTACTTTAAGTATGAATTTGTTCCAACTCCTGTAGCATGTAGGTTGGGCTTTAGATGTTGGAACGTCAAGACGATGGCCTTGGGTCTTAGTTTTTTGTGTCGATATCTTCGTTCCTCTAAAGCGGCAGATACACCTACGAGTTAAAAGCGCTTTTTGTATATGAAACACCAATAGGAAACCAGGATTTCGATCTCTCGACGTCGAACTATCGAAACCCTCCTTGCCTATTGGTATTTCACTTTCAACGAGTGCTTATACTTCGCAGGTGTATATGGACCTTAAACAGAGCGGTGTGATTGCGGAATCTCATTGCGCAAATCATGTAGCATCTACGCGTATCATAGAGGAAAATACTTCAAGTTTCTAAGTTCTTAAAATCACGTAAATTGACTTTTTTTTAAGAAAACAAGGGGGAGGGGTCCTAAATCTCTGGACCCTCTCTTCCCCCTTTGCCTCCTTGCAATGCCACTTTTTATTGTTTTCTAATGTTTCACTCAGGTCGTTTCTTTTCTGTGGTATTTGCTCCCTCTCGCCCATAAACGACTCAAGAGATTGTCTTACTTTTTCCGGTCTCATCGTTTTGCTAGCCAACTTTTGAGTCTCCGAAAATTCTTCCTTCAGCGTTTCGTTCGTCAGCGGATGGCCTGATTCCGTCCCTTTATGAAGCTCTGTAAAAAACCAGAGAATTTTTGGGAAAAATCTCTTTTTCACCTGTCAAAGGTAAAATCGGGCATTTTCTTAAAAAGGCCGCTAATCAAATTTGACGATTTACAACGTTTTGCCTTTGACGAAGATATCTTAATTTCTTCAATTTTCCAAACGCAAACACTGATCAAGAACTTTTTCTTCGTTTATCAAATCAACTAGGGGCTTGTGGCCGCTACACGGTCGTCAATCAATGAAGGAAAACTACACGTAAAATATCACAGAACGACCATATTCAAGTTATTCGGAAGCCGACGGGTGCCCGGTGCACTCGAAAGAAAGCGTATTTATCTCCGATTGCAACGTCATACATTGCAACGTTATTTTTAATGAATGCCTTTAAAAAGCTACACACAGTATCTCTGAAAAGTTTCCGCGAATTTTCCTGACTTATCTCAAATAAAGACATCGAAAATTTTGATGCGATATTTTCGTTCGTTCTCCTTTTTTATAGGTAACCAAAAAAAACTAAAAAACATCCGATTTTCTGCATTGTTACAATGAGGTACATATTTCCCCTTTAATTATGGTAAAACTGGAGCAGAGAGTCAAGAATGATGACACTTAGTTCTAAAAGGAAAGTTAATGGAAATCAAGAAAATCTCCAGGATTCCTCGAGAATTGCAGGCTCGCGTTGTACACTGGTTGGATACTGTGTCCGCCGTACCGCAGGTGGTGGGTCTGACACCGAGAAATTACAACGATTATAGCGCGCACCGTGTTGTGCGCGCAATTCGTGAAGTATTCGTACAGTCTAATATGCGTATCACGCCAATTGACCTACTGCACTGCGATTGGCGTAATGCGAGAAGTATTCATGCAGTCTTGTAGGCGCTAGCATGCTTTCCACGCCGACCGCACTGTTTGGCGCAATGCGAGAAGTATTCCTACAGTCTTGCAGGCGCTAATGTCCGCACTGTCTTGCGAGATTATTCGAACTCGCTTTAGGGTATTCGTGGCATCGCACAATGGTGCTTAAAATGTCCATATTGCGTTTCGACGCCGTTATGAGCATTTCAACGTTGCCTCTTTTCTCCTGATAAAATAATTTTGCCGAGAAATGTTAGGAAATTTCTTTTTAATGTTAATTTTTTTTAGATTGAATAGACCATGAAGTAAGATACAAATTTAAGCACTCTGATACATGATTCTTCACCAGAATTTTACGTTAAACACGCTTCCCCAAACGAAAACTACTGACATTAATTCCTAGCTAAGATATGAACGTTAGTTAGAGGAAAAATTCGCCTGGTCACAAGAGAATCAATATCCTACACGAGTCAAATCGCCGACTACAACGGTTTTAGCAGACTACTCAATCGAGCATTGTTTCTTCCCCACCCTGTGTTGTTCAAAGTGTGTACAGCTCGCCATAGTTGAGCCAAAGCGTCGAGATTGAGTTTGCCATATTTTCATATTACTGAGACTGACAAAGCGACGTTTAGCGTGCAATTTAGCCCAAGCAAATTAGTCTTTCTTTTATGAACGGAAATTTTAAATTCATTCATAAAAAACGTTATTTCCACACTGGGAAAAAAACACATTGGATCTAGAGTCCAGACTCTTGAAAACATTGGCAAAAAAAAGGACTCTTGATTCAATCAGATTTAAGCTTAAATCAAAAGGAAATCCGCTCAAACTAAGAGGCTTGGTTCTTGATTTAAGCTTAAATCTGATTGAATCAAGAGTATTTTTTCTTGTTGATGTTTTTAAGGGTCTGGACTCTAGATCCAATGTGTTTTTTTCCAGTGCACGGTCAGGAGTTAATGTAGGATTAGGTTTCGGCAATTTTCATGACGAAAAACGCTTCAGACAGCCGATTTATCAGCTGACCGAAAAAACCCGCACGGGAAAGACGAAAAACCGCGCATCTCTTCGAGGGACAAACGCTATAACCGATCTAAAGTGCGCAAGGGACGCGGGGCCTGCCGAGCAATCCTTCTATTTTTCCCTCCATTGCGGGACCGGGGCGGTCAAGCCGGCGCCACCTACTGAATTTTGACCCAAAGAATCGGGCTTACGGAATTATATATTGTGATATATATGTAAATTAAAAATAAAATTATACCTATCTAAACTCCGAATACTTTGTATTTTATACAACGCTGCAACATTTTCAAGATAACTGTTAATTTAATCTCTGAAAATCAGTGGAACAGCTGAGGCTGTTTACCTCTATATTTTCACATGCGACGAACCCAATATATTACTACCAAAATTCTGAAACTCTTCACCCCTCTTAATTTAAAAATCTAAATTTTCGTATGTACTCCCTTTTTCAAAATTCTCTGTGAAGACGTTAATAGCCTGTGACGCTGAATGTCTCAAAATATACTAACTAACTAACTATATTTAAGGCATCCCCCCCTCCAAAAAAAAAAAAAAAAAAAAAAAAAAAAATTAGCAGACGATTCCGAATTGCGATCTATAAGAGAGATCGATTAACAATTCGCCCAGTTACTCGAAGAAATGCCTGATTTAACTTTTAGCCCTTGACTAAAAGGTTCAAAGCACCGATAATGATAGGATTCTCGCAATAAGAAAGAAAGGGAAGGCAGTACTTTATTACGATCGTTGCTTCAGGAAACGCTCTCCTTCCTTCTTCACCCCCTTTCTTCTCGTAAACTTTGTAAGCGTGACCCGGGCGCAAGTGATAACACACCGATAACCAACTCAAGTTGAGGATGTGTATGTTTTGTTGGAACTTTGGAAAACTAAGATTATAGCTTATATATTTTTTTGAAAGAAAACCAAGCAAAACGTATGCTTGAAATTGTCTTCAAGAATAGAATTTAATGATCGAAGACCATATCGACGGTGAAAGTCGACAATCACATAACTCGTTTGCGGTGTCTGAAAATCTCCGCCTCTACGTCATTTTTTTAAAGGAGAACAAATTGATATTATTCCTTGAAGTTTTTGCAGAATTTTCTTCGCATTGAGAAGAAAAATCATGACAGTTTTAAAGAATTGCCGTTGAGTAGTTTTCCATTTAAAAAATAAAGTATGACAGGAAGTCTGCGACGTCGCAAACCGAGTTATGTGATTGCCGACTTTCACCGTCGATATACAGAAATTTGCAAGGAAGACTATTAGTTTACTTTCATAGCAGTGGCGATGCGTTAATGATCGATCATCGGTATTTCCCCATTAAGAGCTGTGGAAAAGAATCGATTGTTAGGGTGTTCGTTTCGAACACCCTGTTTATCGGTCCTTTTCCATAGGTTTAAATGGCAGATCAATCGATACATCACAAAGTGCACCACGCCACTGTTTTAAAAGGGGACAACACAACGTGAGCGGAGACTTATAACGTCACAATCGAAGATACGCATTTTTCGACTTCAGGCATCGAAAATAATTAACGACTCTAACCATGAAAGAAGAAAAATCTTAATGCGTTGAGCTGTGTCTGAAGGCCGAATCGATTAGAGGTCATCAAATTATTCAAGAAGAACATTGAAATGGAAAATGAAGCCACTGACGTACATTGAAATGAGACAATGGGCTCCATGAGGCCACGATAGAGAGTTTTGCGCTACGCGTTTCCCAAAAAGTGCTGCTCCTAGTGCACGAGAACCTAACTTCCCTTATTGTTCGTTTTCCAGGAAAAACGGAAAGTCTAACTTCTCTCATATACACACCAAACTGAAATAACAGGTTCGTTAATTGTATGCAGTTATATTTTCTTCACGCGCACGTTCTAGTGAAACATTTAAAATGTATAAATAGCCAAAAAAAAAACTAACATGATCTCTAAGTAAACTGGGCAACGAACATTGGAAAAATTACATAGCAGCAAGGTTAGGAGATATCTGGTGTTTTTCGGTAACATTCGTTTTTTGTAGGTATTAAGATGCAGCGTGTACGATCAAAATTGTTTAAAAAAAAGAACGCGTACCTAAAAGGATGAAAAAATGCCCTAAAAACGAGCGATTAACAGTACTTGGCAAGGATTATAGTTCCTCAATTGATTTGACTTGATCGCAGAAACATCAGCTACATTTAAAATGTTGTTAAATTTAAATTAGCCAACAGGTCCTGTTCCGGCAAAGTCAACATGAGTTCCGACAGCTCAGTAATCAAACGAGTGTGTCTGGAGGCAGAAGCTGGAAGTCCAGCCGTTAAATATCGGATACAGCTCCTAGACGAATCTTTGATTGACGAAAGTGTAGAATTTTTGGCGAAGGAACTATTGCCATCGACAAACATGACGATTATTTCAAGTCTCGGTACGTGATTTTTCTGTAAAAATTGAGATTGAAAAATAACCCAACTATAACCAGATCCTTATGTTGAGAGGAGGATTTTTTCCCCCACCGTTAACGCGACCTATTAAGGCTATAAAACAAATCTGTTTGAAAAAAAAAAAAAAAAAAAAAAAAAAAAAA